GTAACAGCAAATTGTGCGATGATCAACTATGATTGACTTAGCTTTTCCCATAAATACAATTCCAAAGGACTCACTCATGTTGGAAAATGCTGTCCACACCCAGAGAAAGTACTGATGGAGTCTGATGCAGATCGAAGCATATTATTTTCACTTTCTTTATTTTGTATACTTTTCCCCTTTTTGTTCTATTTCTTCTTTCACAATATGACTTACATGGAAATGTTTTCCATGATTGCACATATATAACCTATATCAAATTGCTTCTCATTTTAGGGACGGGGGGGGACCAAGGGAGAAAATCTGGAACTCAAAATTTTATTAAAAATGAATGTTAAAAATTATATTTACTATTTTAAAAGAAAAAAACCTGAATGTGCATGTCGTATGCCTCATTCTACACTGAAATCATGGTTGGTTGTCTTTGTAAAGGTTTTGTTACTGTGCAAATAGTTTGCCTTGTTCTGCTTGGTTCTCACTCTGTATTAGTTCATGGAAATCCTCCTAAGTTTCCCCAAAACTGTCCCCTTTATAATCCGGATAGCATAATTTGTTCAGTTATCCCCAACTGATCTGTACCCCGCCTTATATTGTTCCTTTGATGTGCATATGTCTTATTCCCCCAATTAGACTATATGGCCCTGTAGCCATGCACCATATAGCACTTAGCATGGTATTTTGCAGTAGTGGCCACTGAATAAATAATTGTTTCCTTAAAACAAAACAAAAATAAAGAAATGGTTCTATCCTAGTCTGCGCCCCATTTAACAATTTCATAAACCCAAATGAGATAATGAAATGACTTAGATGAAGACATATTTACCAATTTTGTGGGTAACAGTGCTGGGAGGGATAGCTAATGTGTTAGATAACAAAATCAAAATCCCAAATCCAAAAGTTATGCTAAAATAATGTTTTGCTGAAACAAAATTTTGAGCTCAAATTTTTGAAAAGTCAACTGCATAAGTAGAGGGAGGGGAGAAATATCTTGACAGTAGTTCTCAAATAAACAAAAGAAAACAAAGAAAATCTTAGGGATTTTAATTGACTGCAAATTCAAATTAGTGGAAGAATGCCAACAAGTTAATACAATCCTAGGCTGCATTAATAAATTATTAATAAATATGTAAGATGCGTTAATAGATATGTAATATATAGCCCTAGCATACTTCGGTCATACATATATGGAACATCATTTTTAATTTTGGATGCCACATTTTAAGAGGGACATTAACAAACTCAAGTGTGTCCAGAGGAAGGTGTGAAATGTCTTGAAACTTATGTGAGAAATGGTTGAAGAAACTTGTGTTTTGCTGGAGGATGAAAAAAACCAAAAATATTTCTGCAGCTAGAAGGAACCTTAGAGATCATCTAGGACAATCAATTCCCTGTTTGATAGATGAGAAAACCAGGGCAGTAAGAAGTTTAATGACAGAAATCTTCAAGTATTTGGAGGGGTCTCATATAGAAGGATAAGATTTGAGACCACACAACACAGAGAATGATTTTCTAACAAAGTGATCTAAACAATGAAATATGTTGCCTTTTCCTGCCCATCATTCCTCTCTAAATAGAATCCTTCCATTTATACATAATATAAAGTCCCCTCCACCTCTAAGATTCCATAATTCTATGAACTCAGTGGTTAATTCCACTTCCATTAAATCTAAAATGGGAGTGACCATGGGACAAAAAGGACAAATAGCATATTCTCCAAAAATTCCAAATATATATTTCTTAAATTGATTGAAATTCTAAATCAAGAGGAAAAAAAGTTCTTCCCAAGAAAACATGTTCAGTAGTATGTGAAAACAGCACCACCTTGTGGACAATCATGAAGTAACACTGTACCCTGAAAATTTTATACAGCAAAAACCTTCTAGTTCCATGGGAACTTTTTTTTTTAAAGTTTTTAGGCAATTGGGGTCAAGTGACTTGCCCACGGTCACACAGCTAGTAAGTGTCAAGTGTTTGGTCTGAGGGCAGATTTGAACTCAGGTCCTCTTGACTTCAGGGTCGGTGCTCTATCCACTGCGCCACCTAGCTACCCCGGAACTCTTTTTTATAAACTTTCCCTTCTCCAATCACATCAGCACCCCTTCCTCCTTCCCTCATTCACTTTTCTACACCATGGAATAGTAGATATATGAGCAATACTTTTCACCTCATCAAAAGAATTAAAATCTTCATTAAAATTTGGCTTTTGTGCTTATATTACAGATCTCAAAGATACAGGAAAGGCTGTAAGACATACCCCAAGAGTTATTCCAATTGCTATCCCATTTGGATCCACATAAATTGGGTTTATTTGGCAAAGACTTTCGCTTGGCATTTAAAACCCCTACCCCACCATGGCCCTCATCCTACCTTTCATTTCCTATTTCTCTCCTTCATGTATTTTCTGTTGTAGCTAAATATATCTGCTAGCTATGACATATATTTCTCTTCCAAGAGGTTCCCTTGGAATGCAGTCTCCTTTATTACTTCAATCCCTTAATTTCCTTCAAAGCATAGCTTAGATGACACATACTACATGAACCCCAAAGTTGTTACTGCCCCCCCCACCATACCTTGAAATTACTGACTTTTCATTTACTTATCTATATACATATTGTATTATCCCAGTGGAATGTAAGCTCCTTGAAGGCAGATATTACTTCATTTTTGTCTTTGTATCTATTCTTAGCACCTAGCACACAGGAGATATTTAATGCCTATTTAATTGAATTGAAAGAAAAGGGGCAAAAACAAACCTAACTGATCTTCACAAATCAATTTGATTCAAGTTGCTAAATCTGAAAAAGAAGGTATTGGGTTTGACATAAACTTTATAAAGTTTCAAGAGAGCAGACCTGGCTAACTTCCCTGGTTTTGGTGATGCCCTAAATTGTGATACATGCATATAAATACAGACATTTCTAGTTGTCCAAAATACTTTCCACTGCATCCAATGGATTCTCACACCTCTGGAAGTACTGATGTTGAGGATTTCAGCTAAAAATTCCTCCTCTCTACTTAATTTTGCCAATTTATTTTTAGGTGGAGATACACATAAAGAACAAATCAATCAAAGGAAAATAATTTCCAATAAACATAAGCACAGATTTCCAACTAAACATAAGAGTAGAGTGTAAATCTGAATTACCATAGATACACAGCTGGAAAAGACCTCAGAGGTCATGGTCCAACCCCATCAGTTTACACATGAAGAAGTCACAAAGGCAGTAAGTGTCAGATGAAGAATATGAATCCAGTTCCTCTGACTCCAGGGTTAGGGCTTTTCCCACTGAGCCACACTGCCTCCCTGGGACTACCATCACACACCTGTCTTCCATAGAGAAGTTATACATAATAACTTAAAACTTTCAAAGCCCTAGTCTTGAATCTACCAGAGACATTTCAAAGGTCCTGAAATACATTTTGGAGTTAATGCTTACTCATATACATAGCTCTAATGCTGAAGTTGCTAGGATAAGAACATCAGGCTTAGAGTCAGAAGACCTGGGTTCAAAACTGGCTTCAGACACTTACTAGCTGTGTGACCCTTGGTAAGTCATTTCACCTGTTTGCCTCAGTTTCTTCAACTGTAAAAGAGATAACAGCACCCACCTCACAGGGTTGTTGTGAAGATCAAATGAGATAGTAATTGCAAAGCACTTAGCACAGTGCCTGGTACGTCGTAAGCCCTATATAAATGTTAGCTGCTGCTACTGCTACTGCTACATAAAGATATGCTAAATACTCTTCCTCATAAGGTCTCCTGTTCTTGAATAAATTAAGAGAACTTTGAGAATGATTCTGCTTTGCTTAGATAAACAAAAAGAAATGCAGTTCTGAGCTGAACGAATACTCCTTCCATCTTAGAACAGAGACAAATAGTAGACTTTGAAAATAAATGCTTTCCAACCCACTAAGCAGAAGTTAAAGCTCTTTACTTGTAAGCCAGTAGTATGATTAATGCAAGGACCCTTGTGTGAGATATAATAAGTATAAGGCATTTGATACCTAAGGTATTATTTGCTCACAATAAGTAACCCAGCTCCATATACAGAGACAGTGCAAGAAAAAAAACTTTAGGTCTTTTTTGGAGAAAAAGCAAACAAAATTCCCAATGACATATCTATCTTTAGTTCCAAAAAGCTCTTTTTCATTCTTTCCCAGTTCACTAAACATCATACACTGATGATGGTCAAAATACTACCCTACCAAGCCTGGAGTATTAGGAAACTGTTGTAAGGCCACAAAACAGGTTGGTTTCACTGAGGACTTTAGCAATAAATCCTTGCTTCTGCCTTGAGTTCCTGTTTCACAATATTCCAATGCCTTCTAAATCAAAAGCTATACTTTACAAAATTACTGATGGAATTTAAGTCTGGAAGGCTAACTGAGAAATCATTTAATCCATCTACTACTTTAATTTTACAGAGGAGAAAACTGAGAGCAGTTAAGTGATTCACTTAAAATACTATAGCTAAGGCGTGGGGTCCTTCTCACTGGAGGTGTTCAAGCAAAGGCTGAATGGACACTTGTTAGGTGTGCTGTAAGAGGGGATTGTTGTTCAGTTATGGGATGGACCAGTCAAACTGCTAAGCTCCCTTCTAACTGTGTATAGCAGAAGGAACTTACAATGACCTGAGTCTTGGATTCAGGATGACCGAGTCTTGGATTCAGGATGACAGAGTCCTGGTCTATTATCACTTAGTAGCTATGTGAACTGATTGAGTCATTGAACTTTTTCTGTGCTTCAATTTCCTTGTCTATAAAATAAGTATGGCAACACTTTAAACTAAAATGGAGCCAAAAAAGATGACACATACCTGCTTCCTCTAGGTAACAATGCCAGATAGAGTGACTTAAAACAAAGTAATGGCCCCATCATTTGCATATAACAATTGAGAGGGACTGCAGGAGACAAAAGAATTATTTTTCATAAAGTCTATTTCAAAGTTTGCATTTCTCCCATGGCTTGATATATATACTGTGAAGACCAAGACCACTAGTTGTTGTGTTTTCTAAATAAGACTAAATTTATTCAATACCCTAGGAAAAGTTTTGATTATAAGTATATGAACAGTATAAAAAGTACAAAACAGATTGGAAGGTTTCTAATACATTAATACAAAGTGCATGACTACATACATTACATCCTACAGGCAAAGGAATAGGTGGAGGAGGGTGAAAATGACTGTGGTTGAGATTCAGCAATAAATAAATAAATACAGAAGTAGAGATGATCTATATTATAGTATATTCTACCATACTGCAGCCATTAAAAATGTACAAAAAAACCCATTTCAAAATAACTCAGGAAGAAAATGACAATGGCTAGAACTTATGCATGCACTTCAAATACTGTAGCAAAACACAGATAATCTATCCATTTTATCATACAGTAATGTGCATGGAGATTATGAAGTACGTATCCTTTTCTCCAAAACGAGGAGTGTATTGACTAATGGAGGAAATCTAAAAAACTATAGGGGGCCCGTAAAAATGGCTCACTCCTCATTCTTATGTCGTTTACACTATCAAACTTACAAAATCCAGTCTTAAAAATAAGCACCACATCATGGTACAAGATAAACAAAACACTCCTCTTCTTATCTTCACTTTCTGCACCGATTTGGTAGAATATATTGAATTTTACCCTCAAAATTTGGAACACTCTCAAAGAGGTTTTTGTCAGTGTGATGAACATGCAGTGGATTCAAACAGGAAATGTTTTTCTTGAAACCATTTTAGAACCGAAGAACATCATGTGCAGCATTTATTTTATCCTTAACATCGCAATGTTTGGAAAGCTTGAATTAGAAACAAAAAACAAACCCATTCTATATCCCAACACCTTTTCCTTCCTAGTGGAAGTTAATATTAAACATTAAAAAAAAAAAAAAAAAAAAAAAGGACAAACTTGTAGCAGTGCACTGCAGTATATCCCAAGAGGTTAAAACAAGTTAAATGCCCACCTATGTAGGTGAAACCTTCACAAAGGTCAACTGAAATAATCCAGAGCTAAAACTGAATCATGCAGGTCTTTGATGTAGTCACTAAGCAACCTATAGACAAGAGTTATATATAATATAGAAGAAAAATGTCAATTATTTACAGATGTGAAATTCCCTAGGAAATGTGCCCAGAAGCATTAACCCTTGTGTTTTGCACAATCCTGCAGATATGCATAATTGTTTCATTAAGGTGGATCACTACTTTTAATAATCAGTATATACAGTGTATTCTCTACCCATGCAGTGATGCCTCCATAGTAAGACACAGGAAGAATAAGAGCCTAGTCATTCTTCCCAAAGACTTGCTACATCTCCAGGAGGACCTGTGGCTTTATTTTTAGCAATTCCATATAAATTACTATTTTCTTAGACTACTAAAAAAGGGAGGAAGCAATACACATAAAAAAGGTCTCTCTTTGTCTTAAATTTAAGGAATGCTAGCTCCTCCAAGTTATCTGCACTAGAAGGTACAGTCTGTCCTGCTTAATCACTCAGTAGTACAGGTTTGAATCATCATAATCTTTGCAAGACTTTTGCATTTCAGAATTGTTTTCAAATGCCTCTCTGGTATTTAAGTCCTTTTCACTGATCTGTCAGATTTGCCTTCACAAAGGAAAACAAATGTTATCACTCACTTAAAAATGCCTAATCACTGTTTTTCAATAGAGAAAGACTAAACTACATATTGTTTAATGTACAAAAAAAATCCCATCTCTGCCTTCTATACCACCCTCAATGTTCATTCATTAAGAAGGGAATTAAAAAAAAACAACTCAAAGAGCATTTTACAGCAGCATTCAGCTTTCCTATCAAATACGTAGCATCTTAAATATTATGTACAATCTTTTTAGTAAGATAGACACTGGCTTCAGAGTTTGTTGAAGTGGAGAAAAAAATGAAAACAAATAAACAAAACCCACTTAAAACCATTCTAGAAATTGTCTTTTGGCAGGATAGCAAGTGTCCAAGTGAAATAAAGAGGGTCATTTTGTTGCCTTTCCTATACTAATTTTCAGTCCCCCTTCTTGAGAAACATTAGAGTCACCATTCCTCCTGATTGGAGACAGGCAGAGATTCTGGTCCCTGCTCCTCTGGTTTTTCTGCAGCTGCTTTCTTATTTCCACAACAGGGCTTGAATAGATGTGTGTCTATTAGAACTTCCCCAAAACGCCCTTTGTAGATAATCCCACAGCATACTTTCTGTCTGAGGGAAAAAAAACAAAACCCCAAAATCATAATTAATCTGGGAACATATGCACACAGAAGAACAATTTGCCAACAACCAGCACCATAAGCCCACAAGGTCCCACTTCCTCAGTCTAATTATAATTCAGGAGAGTCTTTCAGCAGTATCAACTGGCTAAGTAAAAGGTTAAAATAGCTATAAGTTTTGGTTTTCCTTTTTCAACTGGAAAACCACACAAAATCCCAAATTTCTACTTTATTCATGGATTCCTATATAAGCTGCAGCTATTAGCCAAAAGCTACTTTGTTGCTAAGAAACTAAGAAATAGTGGCTTATAATTTAAATGGTGTGAAAGTTGAGATAATTGTTTCACATGGCTCTTTACCTTTTCCAGTATGTGAGATCTAAAAAGGAAAAGACTGGTGTTCTGCTAGACCCAGAGCCGATCTCCATATCTGAGCCATCATCAGATTGATTACTGTAACAAGGGGATTGAGCTGGGGAGGCACTTGAAGTGGTGCTATGAGCATCAGAATCTACAAAGGAGAAGGAAAAGTTACAATCAGCGAACAGTGCCAACCTTCCCAAAGAAAAATGGTACATAATTTCAGTATAAACACTATGAAGAAGGTGGCAAGGTAACAATTACTTAAAAAATAAACAGAAAAAAAAATTTCATTAAGATGCTTATTCCCACGAAATTATCCTAACCAATGCCCCATCTATCTCATTTGTTAACACAATAAAGAAACCATTAACTGTAATAAACATTTAACTTCCAAAAAATCCAGGATTTACTATTACATTTTGACTCAGCAATCCAGAATGCTGCATTCTTTCCTCATGCTTTTCATTCACAGAGGACTTTTATTTGTGCAACTCAAGACCTCTACCTCCACTGGGGATGGTTTGGGTCACACTGTCCTCTGATTTTGCACATTTATGATTCTCCAGGGAATTACACACCTTCAGAAAGAAAATCCTTAGTGACCAGGATTAGACAAGGTATACCACTACTCTTAATAATTAGGGTAATAAGCTGTTTGTGTAGATGAAAGAGGTGCAGGAAAAGCCCTTTTTCCCTAGCCCAACTATCCTATGTTATATCCTATATTATTATGAAGCTCAACTGAGATATTATTATTGTATTAATTAGTAATAAGAAGCAGTAAATGATGGGTGCTAAATTAATGATAAGAGGAGAGCTTATTTCAAAATAGAAGTGTCAAAGAGGGAAGATCTGAGCTAGGGTTTCAAATGGAAAAAAAGATGCGTGTCCCAGTTAGCCTTTACCATATGGCCAAAATAATTTCTAAAACAACTCTGCTCAAAAAAGTTAAGAAGGGGCTGATTGCCTACAAGTAAAGTCTAAACTCTTGGCTTGGCATTCAAAGTCCTCCATGATACAGTCTCCATCTATAGTGTGGCATGATGGATGATCTGGGTAGGTGACAAGCCATATGACCTTGAACAAATCACATAAATGCTCTGGGCCTTAGTTTTCTTCATCTGCAAAATCAGTGTGTGGCAGGGAGAAGAGGTGGGGATCCAGGGTGTGCAGGAGTTGGACTAAAATCTGCTAGTACCTTTCTATCTCTAAATCCTATGATCCTACCTTCCTCAACTCCCCATTACACTGCTTCATGTATCATGCACCATATATTCTAGTCACAGGCATCCTGCATTTTCCCACCCAGCTGTTATTTCTGCTAAGAAGGCCCTCAACTACATGCACAAATCCTACCCATTATTTCAAAATCTGAAGAGTAGTCATCTTTTCCTTCTCTTAACTCTCAGAGCATATTCTCCCTTGTATTAGAGTTATTTATGTAAATGCTTTACTCATCTCCTACCATATTCAACACACAGCAGGGACTGATGTTCGTGAATAAAAAGAATACACAGGGAATAAAAAAATCAAGAATAAATGCATCAGGCTTCAAATTTCATATAAGTAAAATATTTTCTCTACCATCTTTGGATACCAATAAGTTTAATGGATTACACTAAAAGAGTAATTCATCAATTTCAAACTTACTGTGGCGTTTGAATTCCTTTTGCAATTTGTTGATCTGGTTGCTCTTTATTCTACTTCCAGAAAGACTTTTCACTTTCTTTGGCTTTAATGTAGTCTTTAGACTGGGTCCAGCCCTTGCATCTACCACCTGAAACAAAACAGTGTATTTTCACTACCATCTTTAAAAGGAGCTCCTTGTTTTCCTAGACTTCTGTCCCATGTACTCAGGAAAGTGACTTTAAGCACCTAAAGCATGGCTGCCAAATCTGAGTACACATCTGAGTGCAAAACGTTAGCAGTCAGATGATATTTCTACTTCTTTACATCGTGGCTAATAAAGGTTTCTGAAGATCTAAAATCTCAACAAGTACAAAACGAGTTTGGATAAATATGGAAGATTAACAATAGGTTACTGAGAAAAGTCAGACATACCTGGGGTAAACGATTCCACCTTTGATGCTTACCGTCTCTGTGACCATAGTAGTTGAGGGTCAACTACTATGGTGTTCCAAAGATACTTGGTATAAAGATGAGAACTGATATTCTACTGTTCTGAGACAAAATATCATTTCTTATATTTAATGTTCCCCAAACAATGACTGATGGAAAAATAAGCATTGCTTTCAAATATTTTAAATCCAAAGTTAACCTGCCTCAAGAAAAGACCTCATAAAAAGAAACTCTGAATTCTAGAATAGATACACAATTTCAAGTTCAGTTGTGGAATATCTAGCAAGACAGTGATAACAATATATCTTGTCTCCCCAGAGAAATCGAGGGTATTGGCGAATAGAGACAGTAAACAAAGCTTTGTAAACAAAACTTCTCCTTACTTTAAAAGTTTTTTTTTTAATATTTTATAAGAGTTCTACAATTTATAACAGCTATACAAGAAGAAAAAAGCAAGCCTTAATAGCATCACTCTGAAGAACTGTAAAAGAACAATAACTAGGAGAAGGAAAGGAACTAACATGATTCCAGTTTTTTTTTGATCCCGCTGGTAGCTTTTTCCATCTTTTCACCAGAAGCACACAGGCATTACAGATGTCTCCTGAACGAGTCTCATGCAACCTGATAATGGTGGAAAAAATAACACTGTGATTTTACTTCTTTAAGAACGTAAAAACATTTATTAAAGGACAGTCTACATATATCCCCTTAAATTGTAATTCCAGACAGTCTCTACTTTCTTTGCCCCACAGAGTTTATATTTCTAGAATTCACATTTAATAAACATTCTGGAAAGCCTACAACATATGTCAACCTCTGACCAACTACCAAGTGCTGCCCAAACCAGATTCAAATGTGATTGGGAAATGTTTAACATAATAAATAAAAACAATATAGATAATGTTACTTTGTGACTTTCTAATTTAATATAACCTGCAGGGATACATTTCTATTTCAGTTTGATACCACTGGTCTATAACATATTCTGTAATTTAAGAATTACATAAAATGAAGTTTTAAAAAATAAGGCAATAATAAAAATAGCACTTTGAGATTCATTGATATTATTATTCAAAATATATCTGTTGCCAATGAATTTTACTATAGTTTTATAAAAGATTAAAATAATTCAACATATAAATATCATATAAAGTTTCACATAAACAACACAATTAAAACAACATAATAAAAAACAGAGGGGCTATGAATAGAAAATACAGAAAGCATAATGGTAATTAATACAATCCCAGGTGGATGAATCAGCTTTATTCTAACCTGTTTGAGAAACTTATTTCTGTCTCAATTTTAATGTATATTGGTTGAGAGAGGAATGGAGAGGCAGGGAAAAGTTTATACAATGAAACAAAGAAGTAAGAGAAGCCATTAAGCCTGGCTCTGATCAGGATAAATGAAAAATCCACTAGCTCAGTGTTTCCTAAACTCATTTGGCTACTTAACACTTTAGGGTTTGGAAACACAATCCACAAGTACTAGTCTAGGAAGCATAGAATAGCTCTGGTATGAAGTGGGCAATTAGGTATGGAAGAGAGACAACTGGGTAAAGAGAGAAAATCCAGAGTTTAAAAAAAAAACACAGAAAAGTTACTGTACCTAATCTGACTTCAAATTTAATATGGGGGTGGGTAATATTACCAGAATAAAAATCTTCTCATGGAAATTTTTCAGAATGCATGGAATATGAAATGCCAGGGCTCTACACCAATTTAAGAAATACTGTTTCAGCAATTCACAAGTCACTTTAACTATGGCTTAACAATAACTGGCAAATCCTACGTTAAGGAACAAGCCATGCAATTAATTACTGACATGAGTACTGGAACCATAGTGTTAAAGTAAATACTTAAAATTTCAAAGATCTTTGATGTCTTCCACTGACGTTAATCACACCATAATTTTCATGAGCTATGGTAGTCAAAAATATTGCCAGATCACACCCCTCACCCCCATCTTCCATGAGGCAGTACAATTTAAGAGAATTGTGAAATAGTTCTTGAAAAGCCTAATAATAATAGCTAACATTTTGTATAGTGTTTAATATGAATGACAGGCACTGTAATAAGACTTTGCAATTATCTCATTTGATCCTCACAATAACCCTAAGATTAGATCTTTCTGAAACAATAATGAGCTCCCTTGCCCTTTTATCCCTACTCCCAAAGATCTACCATACCAGGCAGTGAGGAAATGTCTCTCCATCACCACATTTATGCCCAAGTATACTTGTTTAGTGACTCCAGCAGCATGATGAGAGGGCTAGTAATTCACTAATATTACCTTAGGTCTTAACCATTATCTTCCATTCACCAATCAGAGTGGAGAGCATTTACATCTCTGGGAACCCAATAACATCTCAGTGAAGTTGTTTTTTGTTTGTTTGTTTTGGTTAAAATCCACTGGTGACATCATTGTGAAATAATGAGTAACCTCACATAGGATATGTGGGCAGCTAGATGGCTTAGTGGATACAGTGCTGGGCTTGGACTCAGGAAGATAAATCAAATCTGGCCTCAGACACTTGCTGAGCTATGACCCTTAGTCACTTAACCCTGCTTGCCTCAGTTTTCTCATCTGTAAAATGAGCTGGAGAAGCAAATGGCAAGCCACTCTGGTATTTTTGCCAAGAAATCTCCAAGTGGGATCACAAAGAGTTGGACACGACTGAAAAACAACAAAATACAGGCTATGTAGCATTCCTAATACCATTCTGTTACATAAACAAAAAAACTTCCTAAAACAATAAAAGGAAAAATATGGTTGAAAACCTTCAGAAGTGACATGGATTTGAATCTCACATTCTGACAATCACATTAGCTCCACGAGCAAGGAAGGCAAGTCACCTAACCACACTGATGCTCAGTTTCCTTATCTTGAATATCTCCCTCAAACTCTGGTAGTGAGGACCAAATGGGAAATGATTATTAACTATTTGACAAGGTAGAAAGAGTCTTGACTCTTCTGAGTTCAGAACTTTAAAAACTCTTTCTATACCTTTTCAAACAGTTGATTATTTAGCATTTCTAGTGCTTCTGATTTTTTATATGAATTTCTAGTAAAACTATGAAAAAAGATTCAGTACTATTAGTAGCACATCAATCCAAGGGTCACTGCTGAGATTTTATTGCTGTATTCATTTCATAACGTGGGAATTCTCATTTAATAAAGAAATTTACAAACAAACTGTCATTCACTTTCAGATGATCTTACCCAAAGCAACTCTGGAAATCCTTCTCATAGCGCTTACTGTCAGTGAAACGAGAACTGGAAGACTTGGCTCTGCAAATACAGCAACCCTCTATACTTCTATACATCTTTGGTTTGTGGAAACCAAACATTTTGTCTTCTTTGCAGTAGCCTGTAAAGCAAACAGGAATCGACATAGCTCTGTCAAGGTATGTGAGAGGCATCAAGCTGCTCAGACAGGAAGAACAAGCTAACTTGTCACCGGACTGACATATTCGCAAATATCAAAAAGTATTTAAAGTCTTAACTATGTATTATATATTGTACTAAGGACTGTGGATAAAAACTGCGAAAATAATTCCTGTCCTGAAGGGGCACGCATACATTATAATAAATACATCCTCAGTGGAAGGAAAGTAATCTAAGAAAGGAAGCGGTCAAACGACTGGGGGGACAAGGAAGGCTTCCTGCAGCAGGTAACACTCCGGCTGAATCCACAGAGAACCCATGGATGTCAAGATAGGGAGGTGAGGACGGATAGCGTTTCATTCCACATTGCCACTCCTAAACACAAATTTTACGGGAATACATTTACGCATTTTCACTTTCCACTGCCAGTCCAATGACAAGTAATATGTCACTTGAGGATATTTAAGATATATCTTCATTACTTCACTTCTCCCACTAGGAAAGACTGAGGCAGAGTAGGTGAAAAGTAGGAGAACAGAGGACAAAAGAATATTTAACCAAATATTGATAACACACAAAACTATAGGTTTAGAGTTTATATGTATATATATATATATGGTACCTTAGAGTTTATCTAGTCTAATCCCTGTGTTTTATATATAAGGCAACTTTGACCAACTGCAGTAAAGCGACTTGCCCAAAATATTGAGCCTAGATTCAACCTGGATGTTTTGAATTCAGAATATCCCACTCTTCAGCAGGAACTACTAAGTCTACTCATACTTCAGAATGAGTATGTCCTAACAAACATGAATTAGAGTTATAAAAGCAAAGTAAGCCTTTAAAATAGACCTAGACATCTTTTTAACAGCAACTTACAATAATGAGTTCATTCTTAATAGTTTTCAGATACTGGCTGTCACAACCATTATTAGGGATTGGGAATTTTTTTTACAACAAGGTAGTAACTATGTCTAGATCAATACACCCATGTGAATGCTGGGAAAATGAAAGTGATTTTTAAAACGATAAATAGGAAATTCTAAGATGGCAAGTTCTTCACTTAATTGAAAGGACTAAAAAAAAGTCTGTAAAGATTAAGAAAAACTCAGGTTTGTGTTTTTTGTTTTGTTTTGGGCTAGGTAATGGGGTTAAGTGACTTGCCCAGGGTCACACAGCTAGTAAGTGTCAAGTGTCTGAGGATGGATTTGAACTCAGATCCTCCTAACTATAGGGCTGGCACTCTATCCACTGTGCCACCTAGTTGCCCCGTTTCAATTTTTCTTAAGTGTTAACTCAAATAAAGAATAAGATCAATTCATCCACCATTGCGCTCCTTCAACATTCTATGTCTGTGTGGCTATTCCGCAAACTTATTTCACAAAAATTTATTTACTGCGTTCTCTGAGAAAGCAAAGGAAACACATTCTAGTCAAGGAAGAACAAATGCACAGAGGGGGTAAAAAGCACAGAAATCAGAGAATATCCAGAAACCCAGTTCAGCTAGAATATAGGGCTGGTGAAGAGCAAGAATAAAGACCACTCAGGAGGTATGATGCAGTCAAAATACGGAGGGATTTAAATGCCCCACTAAGGAGTTTGTGCTTTATTCAATAGGCAATGGGGGCCTGTGGAAGTTCTCTGAACTGGGGTATAGAACTGTGCAAATGTATGAATAATGGATTGGTGAGAAGAAAGCGGTGGCTCGTAGGCTCAGAACTAGAAGGGGCTAATCTAGTCTAACCTAATCCAAAAGTCTAACTTTATGCAAGAATAACTTGTTCAAGGTCACACAAGTGGTAAATGGCAGTGCAGAGATTAGAAAAGTCCTTTGACTCTAAATTCTGCATTCCTTCTCTTGTACGAGCCTTCATCTCAGAATGGGAGAATGAGGGTGGGGGAAATATGAATGAAAACATACTTCTGGTTAAGATGGCAAGGTGAAAGGTCAAAGGAGTCCAACTCCCCCAAGAAAAGATTTAAAAGGAGCATTAGATTGAATGACGATCAAGAAATTCACGGAGAAACAGTAGTTAATGCCTTCAGTCAACCTGGCACTGAACAAAAGGCACTGAGGGAAGGCAGGGGAACTGGAAACAAACCAGAGCTCCAAGTGTGGACACATCAAAGGATATGGAAGCTAGTGGCTGGAGTCAGGGTCTAGCCACAGCACAAAGTCCCAAACCAGGAACTGACTGATGCTGTAGACACAAGTAAACAGAAGATATCAAACAAAATAAATCATCACTACAGGTCTAGAGAAGCACAAACAAAAGCTAAAACCAGAAGAGTAATTTTACATCAACTACAAAACCAAAACCAAAAACCAAAAAAAACCAAACAAACAAACAAACAAAAAAAAAAAAACAAAAGAGAAAGAGACTTAGCCATGAAGGTTACAAGAATGAATGAAAGATTTACAAGAGAATTCTATCAAATATTACATAAACTGCAAAAATAAGAAGTGTTCCTATTAAATTCCTTCCATAATACAAATATGGGCATAATATATAAACCACAGAGTTAATACTGAAATAGAGAAAGAAAACCAATGATTAACATCCCTTAATGCAATCTGATGAAAATATTTTAAATGAAATATTAGCAAAGAAGCTATAGCAATATATCACAAAGATTACACATTATGACCAGGTTGGATTTAGGCCAGGGAGGCAGGGTTGCATTAAAAAATTAACTGTACAGCCAGCAAAGTTGGGGATATAAAATAAACACACAAATCATTAGCATTTCTGTACATTACCAACTAAACCCGCCACAGCTAGAAAGGAGTATACTAATACAACTACAAAACTGTGTTTACAGATAGAAAAACAGAGTTGAATAATTAGAGAAATATTACCTGCTTGTGGTTAGATTGAGCCAATATAATAAAAATGACAATATAACCTAAATTAATTTCTTTCAATGCCTCACCAACCAAACTTACTAAAAAGATTATAGAGCTAGAAAAACAATTGTAAGAAAATTCAAGAGAAATAAAAGTTTGAGAAGTATAAGTGAAATAATGGAAAAAACCAAACAAAACAAAACCCAAAAGTGAGGAGACCTAGCATTATCAGATTTCAAACTATACTACAAAGCAGTAATCATCTAAAACAATTTATTACTGGTTAAGAAACAGAGAGGTCAATCAATTAGAATATATTACGTACATATGATATAGAAGTAAACAAACCTATCAACCTAGTGTTAAACCCCAAGAACCCAACAACTAGGGTAAAGACTATTTGACAAAGACTACTTGGAAAACCGCTCAGCAATATGATAGAAATATGATTTAGACCAACAGTCAGTCCATACCATATACAAAAATAAGCTCCAAATGGACACATGACCTAAATATTATAAACATCATAATATCACATGGCAAACATCAACAAATCAGAGGAAGAAATAAGAATTTACCTTTTAGATCTAGGGATAACATAAAAGTCCATGACCAAACAAGAAACAGAGAGGATTGCAGAAGTTAAAATAGACAATTTTAATTAAATAAAATTAACAAGCTTTGCACAAATTCAATGCAGCTAAGAGTAGAAGAAAAACAGTTAAACGTGACAAAAGTCTTTACAATAAGCTTCTCTGATAAACATCTGATGAGGAACTAATTCTACAAGAGCTATTCCCCAAATAATGGTCAAAGGATGTAAATATGTAATACACATTTATAAGATAAACTCAATAACCGTATCTCTAGATAAAATTTGTGCTATTGATATCTACATTTTAAAATGTTCCAAATCACTAATAGAGAAATTCAAATTAAGGCAACTTTGAGGTTCTATCTCATATCAATCAGATGAGCAAAGCTGAAAAACAGTAAAATGACAAATGTCAAAGGAACTGTGAATTCATTTAGGTATTCTGGAAAGCAATTTGGAACTATGCCCTCAAAGTTAGTAAACTACGAATACTATTTGACCCAGCATTACCACTACGAAGCTCATATCCTAAAGAAATCAAAATAAGGGCAGGCAGGTGGTGAAGTGGATAGAGCACCAATCCTGGAGTCAGGAGGACCTGAGTTCAAATTAGGCCTTAGACTCTTACTAGCTAGCGGTGTGATCCTGGGCAAGTCACTTAACCCCCATGGCCTCAAAAAAAAAAAAAAAAAAAAAAAGGCAAAATAAAGAGGATAAAGACTCACATAATATAAAAATATGGCAGTTTTTGTTGTTATAACATAGTCCTGGAAATTAAGGGGGTACCCATCAATTGGGAAATGAGTAAATTATAGTATACAAATGTAATGGAATACCATGTTATAAGAAATGATCAAAGAGAAAGTTTCAAAGAAACTTGAGAAAACATGAATTGATAGAGAAACAGAGCCTGGAGAACAATTTATAATATAACAGCATTATAAACACAACCAACTTAGAAAGACTTAAGAACTCTGATTGATGCAATGACCAAACATGATTCCTGAGGATCCAAGACAAAGCATGCTACTCAGCTCCTGCAAAAAAAGTGATGGAAGGACTGAGGATACAATGCAGAAATTTGTTTTTATTTAACTTTGCATGGTTCCGATGAAGTTTTTGTTTTTTTTTTCTTTTGTTCAATGGAGAGATGGGGAAGAGAGAAAAGAGAAAGAGAGAGAAAATGTTTATTAAAAAAAAAATAGCGAGAGAGAAAGAGAAAGATCTCTTCTCCCTTTCCCTACTATTATTTGATTTAATTCTAGAAATGCTAGCAATAGCAATGAAAGAAATAAAATCACAAAGATGGGCAAACACAAAACCATCTTTATTTGGGGACTTAGTGATTTACTTAGAAAAACCCAGGAAATCAGACAAGAAATTAATTTAGACAATTAAGAACTTCAGAAATGCTGCAGGCTACAAAATACAACAATTCGAGAGCAGATCTATATTAAAGAACAAATTCCAGGAGGCAGTAATAGGAAGGGAAGTCCCATAACTATAAAATGCATAAAAGACCCAATCTACCAAAGCACAT